GATGATCCGAGATGAATTTGATTATAAAATGAGTAGGACTAGTACTTAATTTACCATGGATATATATATTACCTGTGTTTGAATTAATATGAAATATGAGTTCTTTTTCACGTGTCTGCGTACGTGATCGCCGAGATATTTCTGACCACGGAAAAGGATAAGATATAGCTCCTGCCTAAAGTCAACAAATTGCAGTTTGAGATATTGTAGTAGCACAACTTGATCTAGTGTGATGTTTACGTGTACGGTTGTGCCAGAGGTCAGCATCATGTAGAGAGGGTCAATCAAATTACTCCACTTGCTCATTAGCGCAAACGATAATCAACTAGTCCCAACTTTATTAGTACTGCTATTTCCAAATGATAGTTGCATGCGTGGTTAAAAAGATAAAGAAATCATCAACTGCAGACCAACGTTTTGAGTAGCAATGTTTGATACGGTCCTCCCGATTTCCGAGGGCTGACTTTGAGCCGACGGCGATACTGTCAACGGATCGCTCCTGATTCATAGTGATTTTCCTTCAAACCAAAGCAACCCTCAGGCATGCTGCTTTGCATTAAATTCTTTCCAAACGTTCTGACCGGTTGCAACATGGAACCAGACCACAAGTGTGGCAGTGACACCTCCATCTCAACGCTCGGGTGCCATTTTACCAAACTTTCCTATTATTAGGTCGCACAATTCAACTGCTCCTTGACCAAATCATCTCTTTCTATAAAAAAAAATTGAGGCATGTAGTACCATTGAACTTTTTTTCGTGGTCAGAAAAGAAATAATTTAATTGATTATTATTCTATATTTGCGATGGAGGCTGACTGACCATTTCATCTTTTCCTGCGCGCAGTCCGGCTGCTGCAAGCCTCCGATCAGCTGCGGCTTCACCTACGTCAACAGCACGCAATGGACCGGCCCCGCCAAGTCGACGGAGCCCGACTGCGGCGCGTGGTCCAACGACGGGGCGCTCTGCTACGGCTGCCAGTCGTGCAAGGCCGGCGTGGTGGCCACCCTCAAGCGCAATTGGAAGCGCTCCGCCATCATCAACATCGTCTTCCTCGTCTTCATCATCATTGTCTACTCCGTCGGCTGCTGCGCCTTCAGGAACAACCGCCGCGACCACCGCAACGGCGGCGGGTACAAGCAGCAGGGCGCGTACGCCTGATCGTTTGGCTCGGTTATTTATTGCTTGGATTGGATGGATGCGATCGTCGTGTCATTTTCATTCATCGTCGTGCTTCTCTTAGGATGGCCTGATCTAGCTTTGTACAGGCGAGATTATTCTGTGCTCTGATCATCTACTAGTTAGGTTCTATACTCCGTGGTCATGAGGAGGGTTGTGTATATATCTTTTCTGTTCTTTGATATGTATGGCAGACCATTATATATGTAACAGATTATTCTGGAGTTATTTATTTCATATTATATTTACTTTTGTCCATTTTTCTAATTGAACTGCATCTTTGATTGTTTCGCCTGACTCACAAAGTCAAAAGTATATTTCGGAAATTCGCTCGTGAAGTAGTAGTATTCATTTTGATTGACATTAAGTTTTTTTTTAAAGTCACGGCAAAAAACTGTCCACCTGAACATCAACTGTTTTAAATGGTTGATGTATTGCTCTCATTCAGTGTTTTGACAGCAGCGTGCTGTACATGCCCTTTGATTTTTAAGCTTGGACCTTATCTAAGGCTGTATTTTTCCAAGATGGCCTTTAAGTGCGATGGGCACATGCATGCTTTCGAACGGTCTGTGTCACCTTCACTTTCTTGGTTTCTCCGGCGTGTCACCTAAATCTTGTTCATTATGAGTAAAGGAGAAACTGCCTGAAGTTGTGCACCTAATTACCGTCCCCATTTGCATACAAGGTGGCAGACAGACGCGCAGGCATGCTCTCAATCTTCTCTGACTATTTGTGCCATCCTTCCCACCGAAGTATTACTAGAAAGAGAAGCTATGAAGACATATGTGCTGGATGATGATTCATGGGAGAGGCAGGTCCAGCCCACCACAACCTCCAAGATATCCAACTCGTTTCACATTCGTCTGCAAGAATCGTTATAGCTAGGCATCGCACCACCTTGCCGATGTCGTTTCTGCGCGACTCTTTCGTGTTGGACTAGTAGCCCTTCTGAACATAGGCCTCACTGTCTTAATAGCCAACTGGCATCTTCCGATATATATCTTCCATGTTGGCTCAGTCATCCTAGTAATGATGGACAGCGATGGGCTCGTGGCTGCCTGGGTCAAATCTGCTCCGAAGATCATATGCGTTCAACAGACTGCCAGACTCCGTGTCTGATAATTTTAGCATGGCTGCAAAGTCACGAATTTTTTTGTTTTGTTGGGTGACAGACAGTTCAAGGAAGCATGGGAGACAGCTGATTATCAGTTCAAAGGCCAGAGGCTCATTTTTAGAGTAGCGCAGTATCATTGGCATGTCCAAGTAGTATCAGCGTCCGCGTTTTCAGATAACAATTGCTCTGAAGGATTGTTCTCACTCTCTAGTTTTACAACGATGTTCTCTGGTTATACCATGCTCTCACTCTTTTTTTTTTCGAGATTGACGGGGGGGCCAAAAACCCCACCGCTTGTTATATTCCCACTCGAAAGTGACTTGGCAGTCAGTACAGATACAAGTAAGTGCACAAAGGCACAAAAGAAAATAACAGGGGAGGGCTTCAAGAGGAAGCCCAAAACTAGAAGAAAGAACACAAAATGGAGGGGAAGGCTGGCAACAGAACCAAACCGAAACCCCTGGAGGCCGACATCTCAGGTAGCAAGCTCCGCTGAGCAGCTTGTTCCACCACTGACAATGAACCACAACAAGGCCTAGGGAGAAAAAGACGGGCACCATAACAGAAACTCGCAATGGAACATCACTGGCACGAACGAAGGGCGTCGGATAGCCGAGTTCGTGCGGCGACACCGGTGTGCGCCGGCGAAGCCAAGAGACAACAAACCACCGAGACCGAAGGGCACGGCACCGGTGTACGGCCGCCGAGGTCGAAGAGCAGCGTGCCGCCGAGGCCACCCCAGGATGTCCACGCAAACGTCGTCCGGGCCACCATGAAGCACATCCCTGATAGAAAGGAGACACCGAAGTAGAAGCATATCGAGAAGCATCACTGGCGCGAACGAAGAGCGTCGAATAGCCGAGTTCGAGTGGCGACACCGGTGTGCCGCCAGCGAAGCCGAGAAGGCAACACGCCACCGAGACCGAAGGGCGCAGTACCGGTGTACTGCCGCCGAGGTCGAAGGGCAGCGCGTCGTCGAGGCCACCCCAGGATGTCCAAGCAAGCTCCACTCGAGTCGCCAAGGACAATGGCCAGCCAGGGATCGAAGCCGAGGTGGAGAGGAAGCAGCAAGAGGCGAGTCCACCCGAAGCAGAAGAAATCCAAGAAGATGCCCCCAAGGAGGAAACGGCGTAGAGACGTCGACACGATCCGACACGGGGAACCCCGGGTCCGAGATTTCTCTCGGGATCTGAGTGCTTGGGGGGGAGGGAAACAATGCCAAACTCGACGCCTTCAAGAAGGAAAAATGGCGGCTGCAGCCGTCATCGTCGATGAAGTTTTCACCCGGCAGTGCCTCCTCCACCTCGCAACCGGAGCAAGTCGGCCAACCACCGCCGTAGCCCAACAATCTAGGCAGCCATGAGCTGCGAAGCGAGCTACGGAGGGCCAAAGAAGCAGCAACACGCCGGGGCGCCGCGCCCAACAAGGAGAGGCTGAGGTGCACCACGGCCAGCGCGAGGCCGCAACGAGAGAGCACGGGGAGCCGGCCGACAAGGCCACCTGAACCCGCAGATCTGGTGCTGAAGCGCGACCACCAGGAAACCCGCGACGGCAGAGGGACGAGTGGCGGGGGTCGGGGGAGGGGTGGACGCAGCAAGGAGGGCGTGCCCGGCCGCCACGGCAAGCGGGCTGGGGAGCACCACAACCGGCTGGGGCCCAGATCCAAATGGGGCAGACGGGACCAGTGCAGCAGGAGGAGCCGCATCCGGAGGGAGACCCACCACACCAGCAGCGGGCGGGGAAGACACCGCCGGGGGAGGCCGCTCACGGGGCCGGTGGAAGCCGCTGGAGCCGCCAGGGGACAGATCTGGAGGAGCTGTGGAGGGAAAGGGCGTGGGGTGAAGCGGGATGGGGGAAGAACGGCCTCGCCGCCGCCATCCCTGGGTCCGGCGCGGCTTCGCCGGCCGGCCCTCCGGCGGCGGCGACGCGGGGGTGGCCGGGAGGAGGGGCGGCGGTCGGTGGCGGCTGGGGTTCCCCTCGAGTCGCCCGGTGTGGGCGACGCGAGGGTCGGGCCTGTTCTCCTCCACCATGCTCTCACTCTCTCCATCGTCTTCTGTACCCCACAGGACTACATAGAGGCCGATGGTGATAGCGCCTAATACGCTGCGTCAAAGGAAAAAGATCACTGTAAACATCATCCACAACAAAGAGTTATTATGATTTATGACTGAACACAACAGGGTTCAGTGGACCTAATGAGGAATGAAGTTAGTGCATACCTCCCAGTATGGAGTTCTTCATGAAGGAAGAGCTTAGGTAACACTGTCATGAGTAAACAATGAAGAGATATCATCTTTGTTTCACTTTCACTTGCAAGAATAGTTGTAGCTAGGCATCGCCTTCTTGTCGTCCCTTGTGTGTGACTCTCTTGTTAGACTAGTAGTCATTCTTAACATATATAGGTCTCAGTCCTTGCCAATTGGCATCTTCCAATATCTTCCATCTTCCCTGATTAATCCTCATAATGCCGGACAGTGATGGGTTCCTGACTGGCTGGGTCAAATATATGATCGGCACATTAAGCATTGTGCAGACAGCCAGACTGCGTGTTTGATAATTTAGCATGGCCATTGCCCATTGGCCAAGAACTATCCAATGAAAAAAATATATATACACATATTTTGGCAACAAGCAGGCAGTGGAAGAAGTATCAGAAAAAGGGATCATTATAACTCAAAGGCTGGAAGCTGTGTCTGAAAAACTGCAATATCACTGGCGTCTCGAAGCATCAGCGTCCGCGTTTTCAGATGATAACAATGGTTCTGAAAGATTGATCCCACTTTCTACTTTTACACCCATACAATCTTGCTCTAAAATGCTTTCAGAATCATTAGAGTGGATGGCCAGCCCCTCGCTGCTTGCGTCATCAGCTTTACCCCACAGCACAACATACAGGCCTAGGATGATCACAATAGCACCCAACACGCTGCACACAGACAATTTCATCGTAAACATCATCAACAGTGACAGTGATTATGTACTGAGCAGAATAGGAAGTTCAGTCCACCAAAAGAGGAACGAAGCGTCGACATACCTCCCAATGTGCAGTTCCTCGTGAAGGAAGAGCGTAGACAATATTGTTGTGATGACCGCGCTCAGCGGTGTAAAAATTGCGCTGTAAAGTGGGCCTTTCACTGATATGCACCAAGATTGCATAAAAAAGTTTGCACCCGATGCGAAAACGCCCTGCAAAAATTGTTCAATGTTGTTGAGTGGCCAAACTCATTATATATCAACATTCGACGCAGTTCAGAATAACATGTGGATTACCATGCCATTGCGTGCATTTAAATGGACTAAAAACTTACTCCGTATAAGATGCAGGGGAGCTCCCAAATAGAAGCAAGCTTCCAGATCTCAATGTAGTTTGCTTCTAGGAAGAAGGCCATCACCGCGCATTGCAAGGTCGCTAGGAAGCACATCCAGGTTGCCAAGGATAGTGGATCAAGGTAGGATTTACAGACCGGTACCTGAAAATGACCGCGGACTTGATCATTTTCCCTCTCTTCGATCGCACAGAGCATACACATTTTGTCTATAATCTAACAGTAACGGGGTAATGTTTTCAAGCCAAGGTGCATGCAATGCTTGCCTGCAAGATGTACCAGATGGAGAAACAGAAGGCGTTCCCCATGAGGTAGATGCCGCCTCTCACCCAGTCATCGGTCGCCGGCAGGAGGAGGGCGCCGAGAAGCTTTGGGCCCTTGAAGAACGCCATGAGCATTGCTCCGGCGAGGCAGACGACGGTTCCGACGATCTTGGCGATGCTTCTTGAGCTCCTCAAGTCCACCTTCTCCAACCTGCGAAAAAGCGTGGGAATGGGATGATCGGTCGTGGTTCCTATATGGCGCATAGGTAGCCGTGTAGCACCGTAGCGCGTACCCCGCCTGCGTCTTTCCTTCCATTATCGGTACGGCCCAGTTCGCTTCCCTTCCTCTGGTTCTGCCGGTTTTGGGAAGGTTCTAGAATCTTCCCAGGACCGTTTTTTTTTTGTTTTTATGTTTTCTATACTGTTTTTTTTTTCATTTTTCTGTTCTTTCCAATTTTTCTTTCTCGTTTGTTTTCTTTCCCTTTTTTTCTATTTTCTTCTTCTTCACTTTTTGACTATTTTTGGCATTTTTTATCTCGAATTCTTTAAAAACTTCTTTGTTCATCGAATTCGGAAAATGTTCAACCATGTAAAAAAAAATGTTCAACAATCCTAAAATGTTCATCCAATTAAATTTTTTGTTCATAAGATTTAAATTGTTCATAAAAATTCAAAAGTTGTTCACCAAACTAAAAATGTTCATCGGCTTCTTTTTTTTTTCATTGAGATTTTGTTCATCAGATTCAAAAAATGTTCATCATATTCAAAATTTGTTCACTGAATTAAAAATGTGTTCATCATTTTTTTAAACGTTCATTGAATGCAAATTTGGTACATAATTTTTCCAAAAAATATTCTCTAACACAAATTTTGTTCATCAAATTAAAGAAAATGTTCATCAAATGCCAAATTTGTTCATCGATGTTCAAAATATGTTCATCAAATTCAAAAAATGTACATTCCTTTTGAATCATGAACATTTTTTGAATTCACGAACATTTTTTTGAACCATGAACGTTATCTTAAATTTAAGACAATTTTTTTGTAATCATGAACATTTTTTGCAAATTCGTGAACATTTCGTGAATGCATGAACTTTTTATGAAATCATGAACATTTTTTAAAATTTGTGAACATCTTTTGCAATCATGAACATTTTTTGCAAATTCATGAACATTTCGTGAATGCATGAACTTTTTTGAAATCATGAATAATTTTTTAAATTCGTGAACATTTTTTTACATCTTCATGAACATTGTTTGAATTCCCGAGCATCTTTTTGAAATATTGATTTCGAAATCATGATTGTTTTTTTTCAAATTAGTAACTTTTACTGAAATTTAGAAGCTGTTGATATCCTGAATTATTGAAAAAAACAAAAAAACGCGAAGGAAAAGACGAAACAAAAACAGGCGGCGTGCCGGCCGCACATGGGCCGGCCCAGAAAGGCGCGGAGGGGGAGCGGGGGGTGTGCGCCCGCTGCGTTCTTAGTGCGTGCTGCGACATATAGGAGATCAACTAATTAACGAGCGCTCCTTCGAGAGTCTCACAACGATCAGCGCCACATGATGCGCTCTCAGCCGCCCGCCACGTCTCGCGCTCTGGACGCTCCCTCCGGATTTTTTTCTAAATTTTCCGCACGCGTTTTCGTCTTTTTAAATGGTTTTTTCGCGAAAAACACCTTTCTTTTTTCTTTCGTTTCGCGAAAGTCACGGTTTTGCTTCCGCAAGAGGCACGGTTTTGCTTTCGCGAGAGTCACGACTGTGCCTCTCGGAAACGGAAAACGTGTTTTCTATTTTATTTTTCTTCCATGAGAGGCACGGTTTTGCTTCTGCAAGAGGCACGTTTGTGTGCTTTCACGAGAGGCACGGCTATGCCTCTCGGAAATGAAAAAAAATGATTTCAGTTTTTTTTCTCTTTCGCGAGAGGCACGATTTTGCTTTCGCGAGATGCATGGTTGTGCTTTCGCGAGCCTCCTCAGAAACAAAAAAATGTTTTCTCCTTTTTTTTCCTTCCGCGAGAGGCATGATTTTGCTTTTGCGAGAGGCACGGTTTTGCTTTTGCGAGAGGCACGGTTGTGATTTCGCAAGAGGCACGGGCGTGCCTCTTTCGGAAAGGGAAAAAATTCCGTGCTCCCTGTTCGGTATTTTCGTCCGTCTTTTTGGTGAAAAATATTTCGTCAAAATCTATCAACATGGGACGTAGTTTTGAAGATTCAACGCGAAGAATTTAAGGGTGAAAACGGTTCAAGATTTGGACGCACGGTTTAAGAGATAAAACGTTTTAAATAAACGAATTAAAGAAAATGAAAATTACCAGGTTGTGACAAGTAGCGCACATGCAGTGCGCCACTTGTTGCAACATGAGAAAGTGAAAGCGATTTTGCAATACGAACTCTTCACAATTTCGGTCATATAGGAGGCCTCATGATCGGTCAAGCATTTCGAGTTACTCCACTAGTGGGCCGAAATCGAAATGGAGGAGTCTCAAACGAAACCGGAAGCAACAGATTAACGAGCTCTTTTTTGGGAGTCTCGCAACGATCAGCATCACTTGCCACGCTTTTAGCCATTAGTCACATGTCGCGTTCTGGGCGCTCCCTCTGATTTTTTTTCGCACGTGTTTTTGGCTTTTTAATCGTTTTTTTCCGGGTTTTTATGACGTTTTGGTTTTTCACCGGTCTTCCCTAGCTTTTCGACAAAAAAAAATAGCGCAAAAAAGCGCAATTTTTTTCGTGAGAGTCACGGTTTTGTTTTCGCGAGAGGCACGGTCGTGCCTCTTGGAAACGGAAAAAAAATGCGTTTTCTATTTTTTTTTCCTTTTCACGAGAGGACGGTTTTGATTCCGCGAGAGGCGCGGTTTTGCTTTCGCGAGAGTCACGGCCGTGCCTCTTGGAAACGAAAAAAAACACATTTTCTGTTTTTTTTTCTCTTTTGCGAGAGGCACGGTTTTGCTTCAGTCACGGCCGTGCCTCCTCGAAAACAAAAAAAAATGCATTTTTATTTTTTTTTCCCTTTCGCGAGAGACAGGGTTGTGATTTCGTCAGAGGCACGCCGTGCCTCTTTCGAAAAGAGAAAAGACTCGTGCTCCTGGTTTGGTTTTGTTATCCGGTTCTTTTCGTCCAGCTTTTTTTTAATGAAAAAAAATTCGTCAAAATCTATCAACATGGGATCTAGTTTTGAAGATCTCGACGCGTGGAATCCAACAGCGAAAGCGGTTCGAGATTTGGACGCACGATTTAAGAGATAAAACGTTCTGAACAAACGGATCTAAAAAAAGAGAAAACTTTCATGGTGCGACAAGTGACGCATATGCAGCACGCCACTTGTCATAACCTGAGGGAGTTGGAGTGATCTCTGCAAGAAATATTTTTAATTAGTGATTTCAGACGAAACCCACATGCCCAAACATCAATGGGCGGGCCTGATGGGCATATGTCTCATTGCTGGTGGGCCTAAAATAAATGAGTAGCTACAAGCGGGACAAAAGAAGGAAATTGGACGGCCAGCGGGCTCTGTCTGACGCACCGACGACGGACAAATGACGTGAGGTGGAGAAAGGGGAGGAGGAGCGAGTACCCGATGACGGCGGCGATGGCGAAGGTGATGCCGGGGGCGAGGTTGGTGGTCGCCCGAGCCATGGACGGCGACGCCAGCTGCAGCCCCATGAAGTAGAAGTACTGCCCCGTCGCGCTGCAACATCGACCGGCATGTACATCTATCAACAACACGAGGGATGCGGCCGGGATTAGAGAGATGGAAGCGGCGAGACTTGGGTGCGCACCTGGCGAGGGAGGCGAGGAAGAGGAGGGCGAAGGCCCGGGAGCCGACGGCCATGGGGCGCAGCGTGAGCCCCCTGGTGGCGAGCGAGGCGAGGAGGAGCGCGGCGGCGGCGATGCCCTGGCGGTAGGCGACGAAGACGATGGGGCGCATGCCGAGCCCGTAGGCCGTCTTGAGCGCCATGTCCACCAGCGAGTAGAAGAGCTGCACCAGCACCATGGCCACGCACGGCTTGTACCGCTCCGCCCACGGCCGCCAGCCGCCGCCTGACATGGCACGAGAGATCCGGGAGAGAGTGACCAGGGAGGGCCTCCGCCTCGCTCTCGGCAGCCACCAGCTAAGTAGGAGCATCCATGTGCGGACAAGCCTGGTTTTGCGTGCTAATTTTGTTTATGATTCGGGTTTTGCAGTCAAACCAGCTACCAGCCGATGAGATAAAGAATTCCCGGCTGCCTGCGGTGATGCGGCGAGCATGCGTGAATCACCATCACCAGGCTTGAATGTTTCGCCTTAAAATATGCTTGGTGATCATGTTCTCTTGTCCTTCTCTTCGGTCCTGTGACTCATGTTCCCCCTCTAATGAGCACTGCTATGCAGACGATGTTTTGGAGACGATTTGTGCACGACAACTAAATCAAGCCGTCCATGCATATGACTAAAGTGGGGCCAATGGATGGATTAGCCATCGTTTCCTTGTCGTGCAGGCTATGCGTCGTCCGCACAGCAGTTTCGCCCTCTAATCAATTGGTTTCCGCGGCATTCGTGCCCGAGTTCTCCTCTCCTGCTATCCTGACTTGGCTGGCACCATGTGGTCGTCGGCGTTTTTATTTCTTTAGCACCTTTCATTTTCACCCGTCAGCTCGCCGCCTGGCACTGGTTCGACATGACCAGACTGGAACATGCTGACTGGAGACGGGTCCTCACTGAAATGCACAATGACTGCAGGTGCGCATGCACTGTCAGTGTCAGTTCAGAAACCAGATTCGCCTCTGAGGTTTCTGCGTGATCAAGCGGAAATCAAAGCCATGACACGGCGAAAGTATGATTGGTTGTAGCACAAATGTATTGTCAAGACAATATATGTTGCCGTAATTGGTAAGCACCCCCTACCTCATCTTAAATTCGTGGGTCACAACAACATTTACGGGCATTATATTTTGTACATTAGCGGCGACATGCATGATGCCCATGGCCACATGCTTCACCAGCACACTAGTACTCTCCCTCAGAAAACAACCCTGTAACTACAAAAACACATGGGACCATGAGCTGAGAAAGATCACTGGCTATTCCAAAATTGTAGAGCCACTACTTCTCGATCCGGTTGTCGTCCGCTAGGAGCGGCTCGGTGATCGTACTTTCCGCGTCGAGGAGCTGCGAGTCCGACCATGTCTTCTCCAGATCATCGGCGTGCTCCGCCGCCCTTGGGCTCTTGACGTCGCCTGCTTTGCCCCACAGCACGATGTACAGCCCGGCGACCACCGCGAATGCACCCAACAAGCTGGACAAGCAGAACCGTTTCGTCGTTAAGTAAGTTGAAAAGTGAAGTGGTGGGTTCAACGAGACTGAACTGCATGCTAAGTTGCAAATAGTAACACACACACACACCTTCCGACGTGTGGCTGTTCGTGGAGGACGACGGTGGCGAGCACGGTGGTGACGACGGTGCAGAGGGGGTTGAACATGGCCGAGTAGAGCGGGCCCCTCACCGTTATGCACCACGACTGCAGGTAGAACGTCACGCCTGACCCAACCGCGCCCTGCATGCCCAACGATCGACATTGTTTAACAGTTGTACACTCTCTGTAGTTGTTTGTCCGCGGAAACGGCGGCGACGCGCACGGGAAATACTGAAAGTGGATGGGAAGACGATGAACTTACGGCGAAGATGCAGCCCATGACCTCGAAGAGCGAGTTGATCTTCCAGGCGTCGAGGTCCGGCAGCACGAAGGAGTTGAGTAACGCCATCTGCGCCGTGGACAGGAAGCACATCCAGGCCGACAGCGTCAGGGGATCCACGTACGACTTGCAGATCGGAACCTGTGAAACAGTACAAGGTTCAAGTTCTCATGATGGATATTCTTGGCTGGCTGACTGACACCGACCTGTATGATGAGCCACAGCGACCAGCAGGAGCTGCTGCCGACGAGGAACAGCGCGCCGGTCACCCATTTCCGGCTCGCCGGCGAGTTGAGAAGCAGGTCTTGGAGGTCCAGCCCGGCGCCGTCGACTCCCAGCGAGTCGTGCAGCAGATTGGGGCCCTTGAGGAAGGTCATCACCATGGCGCCTCCGACGCAGACGGCGGTGCCGAATATCTTGGCCACGCTTCGCGGCTTCCTGATCTCCACGCTTTCTAGACTGCGTGCATGAGCCGCCGGTAATTTCATTAGTAACTAATTCCACTTTTGTAATCCAGCGTTTCAGTAAATGCTCCTACTTTTTTTTGACTAAAGAGCAAGAAGCCCTCTTATTTAGACTACCCAGCCCCACTAACACTCATAGTGATGGAGAAGAGAGCGTACATAAGTGGCAACGTTGGGGTGTGATAGTACCAATTATTTGCATCTTGTCCCAAGAGTTTCACAAATAATGACGTCCCGTACGTAGCCCCCCACGTACGTGGTCGGCACTACTGTACTGGTGTCCTAGAAAGGCAGCCTTTATTGCAATCTGTAGTAGCCAAGTGGAACGGCTACTGCTTGTCACAGATCTGTGCTTGATGAACCAGGGGTCTAGGGGAGCTGACTTCTGTTACTAGCATTTTTCTTACAGGTAGTGTAGTGTTTAGCACTTTGGAACAGAAGAAACATGCTAGACCTGAATCTTTTAATCCCTCCGTAGTCCGTACCCAGGTGTTTATTTGTTTCAGAGAATGTTCGATCTGCACGATCAGTGGGAGGACGAGCAAAAGATGCCGAGAGTCCACAACTTATTGGGAGGTGGCGTACACAGAGGATGATGAACACCCGACACATGCTACTTACTCAAACCACACACGCCCACACTACATAACATTTCACGTCTACGTCTACCATGCAGGCACGAATGCTGCGCAAGCTCCAAGCATCGATCAGTCACACAGCGCAGACATGCGTGCGCTTCCCGCACTCACCATTGTAAGCTCGAACACTGACAAAATTGATTACTTAGTGGTTGAGGGCACAAGTTGCCTTGTTAGCCACAGTTAATTGTACCATAGGAATAGGATATTCTGTGGATCTATCTCACCTACATACTGTAGAAGTACATATATTATGACCCTAACTGCCCCATTAGTTAATTCCATAATTATCGTCCCCGATACCCTTCAGCTGACTAAGCAGTGAGGCGACAGATCTACAAGATGCGCACACGCTCATGGCCTGATTTCATTTTTAGACCACAGATGATGAAACTTGACGAGGAACTGTGAACACACGATGTGAATGAAAAGTGCAATGCCGGCTGCTTGCTGCTTGCAGTTCCAGGAACGGTACTCACCCTACTGACGTCGCCAGCACGAAGGTGATCGCCGGTATCAGGTTCGTCATGGCCGTCGCCATGGACGATGATCCCAGGTAGATGCCTTGGTAGTACATGTACTGATTGGCCGTCGCCCTGTTCATTCGTTGCAGACACACACACCAAATGATCAGTATTGTAAACAAGACTGTTCGATCGCTTCGGTGCTCACTGCTCAGCTCAGTACGTGATCGTTCGCAAGATGGCGAGAAGGCATATATGGACGTACCCGACGAGAGAGGCCAAGAACACCAGCGCGAAGCCTGTCGTCCCGATACAAAGAATCTCCTTCAGCCTCTTCCTGAGGAAAAATAAAAGGACAATCTACAGCTCACCACGAGTGACAAAATGATCGCCTAGTGAGAGCAGGAAAGAGAGAGGGGTCGATCTTGTCTTACCTGTTGGCAAGCACGGTGATGGGGACGAGGACAAGGGTGGCGATGGCCTGCCTGTAGACGACGAACACCATGGGGTTCATGCCGCGGCTGAACATGGCCTTGGCCCACAGCGCCATGGCCGCGTAGATGCACTGCACCACCACCATGGCCGCCAGCGGCTTGTGCTCCTCCATGGCAACGCCCACCGCCACCGCCACCGCCGCTACCTAGGTCGAGAGATCTCGAGAAACTAGTCGAGTAGGCGGCCGGTTTCCAAGGAACGGCTGAGGCGGGCTAGGTAGTTTATATACGCTGCAGAGTGCAGAGGTCGATCGTAGGTTCGCACAAGGTTCTGCGGTGCTTTGTTCATGTGCTGCCTCATGTATTGACGGGCCCACGGTGTTGTCGTACCTGGTGTTGGCCTCGCGTGCTAGGATGGGTACAGGTCAGCTGAGCTAGCTGGTTTTTGACAAATCTTGACTGCTGAGAACGTGATTTATGGTCTCATGCAGCGTGCTTATGTGGAGATTATTCTACTCCTGTGTCAGACTGATAGCGTGAGCTAAGCTCCGTCTGTCTAATCATACTCCCTCTGTTCGAAATTACTCTGGATGTATCTAGAACTAAAAATACGTCTAGATACATTCATTTCTGCGACACGTAATTTAGGACGGGGTGAGCATAATTCTGTCCTAAGAAAAAAACCGGGTTCGTCACGAGGCGTTTCTTTGACTGACCCGCCACCATGCTGTCTTCTCGGTTCCCTACTCTCCACCATCGGACAGTTCATCGGTTGCCAAAGAAGTGGGGACCCCTCTCTTTTGTTTTTCAGGTTCTAGTAAGTTCTTACTTTTGATATTAGGTTTTTGTTTTCTTGGCGGCAACAACAAGGTGCTGATGGCGACGACATGTGAGATTATGGTTTCTCTGGCCTCTCTACCTCGAGGATGTTCGATTAGGCGCCGATGAAAGGTTTGTGTGGTTAGGTGTTGTCTATTAGCTCTGTTAAGATCTTTTTTCTCGAATACGCTTAAGAGTGTATCATTTCATTGATAGAGGGGAGAAAGTACCCCCTGGAGGTGATTAGGGTTAGGTGGACAGGAAGGCGCCCGCGGATCTCATCGGCGGGGCGCATCGACACGCGCGGGGGCGATGGCAACACCGTCCACCGGCAAGGGCTGGAAGCGCAGCGGCAATCTCTCTCCCCGCTCTGCGCGAGCATAGATGGAGGAAGCACTCGGCAATCTGGACATCACCGAAGAGGAGCCGACATCCCTAGTGATCGACGACGCAAACGACGGTGCTCCGACGAAGTGGCTGTTCGCAGGGAAGGTTCTGCATCGCAATCTGCTCCACATCCAGACAATCAGCAATGCCCTCCGCCCAGCCTGGGGAAACCCTAGAGGTCTATCCTGTCAGCCTTTGGGAGAAAACACTTTTGCAGCGGAATTCGAGTCCAAGCGCGATCTTGATCGCGTCTGGGAAGGAGCGCCTTGGCACATTAGCAAGAACACGGTGATCTTGGAGGTGTTCGAGGACCACATGCAACCTTCTGAACTAAAGTTTGACAAGCTACCAGTATGGGTTAGGGTAGTCAATCTACCTTACAACCTGAGGAACGACAAGAGGGGTTTGGCGATAGCTCAACAAATTGATAAGCATGCTTCTATCGTCCAAATCGATCCCGTAGGGGGCTTTTTGAGGGCATGGGTCACTATTGACGTGCTCAAACCTCTTCGCAGATGGATAGTCATTGAATCGACCAAGAGGGACAAAGTGGACTGCTATGACATTGAATATGAATAGATCCTGCACTTTTGTTTCTCTTGTGGTTGGCTAGGCCATTCTCTGTTCTGTCCCACGCCAGGGACACGGGATGCAAGCGGTGACCTTCCTTTCAAGGCAAGTCTTCAGGCGCCCGAGGAACGGAAGAGGAATTTATCGGGGGAGAACTCGTCGAAGGAGAAACAAGACACACATAATAGCACAAAGGAATCTTGATCGTCTAGTTCCAAACAGCACAAGGGTGTTGAGGTGACCTCTCCTGTCAAGAACCCCATTCTGAATAAGAGGAAAGGAGGGCCAGATCCTACAAGATCCAGAGGAGGTGAAGAAGGAGATTACTGACTTCTATCATGATCTGTACCAAACGCAAGGCTATAGGCTGATGGCAGAGTTGTTAAACTGTGTCCAGCCCATTGTCACCGAACACATGAATGAATATGTTAAGAAATTGTACGAGGCGGACAAGGTGAAGAGGGCGCTCTTCGACATGGCTCCGTCGAAGGCCCGGGAGTGGATGGTTTCACGGCGTGTTTTTATCAACGACATTGGGATGTTATTGGAGAAGACATCACAGTGGTTGTCCTGGATTTCTTGAATGGGGGTGAGTTGCCATTGGGACTAAACGACACATCTATCACACTACTCCCGAAGGTACGGCACCCATAGAAGATATTTCATTTCCGCCCTATTGCATTGTGCCCTATCCTTTATAAGATTGCTGTCAAAGCAATTGCTAATAGAGTTCGAGGGATTTTGGATGAAGTGGTCGGAGAAGAGGAGAGTGCATTTGTCCCGGTACAATTAATCACTGACAATGTACTCATCGCATATGAGAGTATCCATGCTATCAAAGGGCGGAAGAAGGGCAAGAATGCTTGTTGTGCAATCAAGTTAGATATGCTTAAAGCCTACGATAGAGTGGAATGGCACTACCTCGAAGCTATGTTAACAAGGCTGGGATTTGGAGATAATTTCGTTCACCTGATCATGAAGTGTGTAACTTCGGTAAGGTTCACGATCAGGGTAAATGGGGAGCTCCTGCCATTTTTTAGTCCATCCAGGGGGCTACGACAGGGGTGTCCCATGTCGCCATATCTGTTTTTGTTATGCGCACAGGGCCTCACATCATTGCTTAATAATTTTGGTGGCGCATACATTGACAGAGGCATGAGAGTGAGTTCCCATGCACCTTGGGTCAATCATCTGTTATTTGCTGACAATAGCTTTATCTTTCTCAGTGCAAATACCCAAAGTACAAAGAGGCTCAATGAGATTCTTCGAATTTATGCCGAATTCTCAGGGCAAGCAGTGAATCGGGAGAAGAGTTCCATCTATTTCAGTGGTAACACAGCACAACCCCTGCGATAGCTTCTGAAGCTATCACTCGGGATCAATGTGGAGGCGTTTTCATAGCGCTATTTGGGGTACCGACAACCATTGGGGGAATTACCAGCGGGACCTTTGAACACTTAGTGGACAGGTGTCGTGGTAAAATGCAAGGATGGTCAGAAGGAAACATGGCTTGTGCAGCAAGAGAAGTCTTTCTCAAAACGTAATCCAGGCCATCCCTACATTTAGTATGAGCTGTTTTCTTCTTACAAAGAAGGTTTGCAAGAGCATCGCATCACCTTTGGCTAAATACTGGTGGGGAATCTCTATTGATAAACGATCTCTTCATTGGCTCTCTTGGGAAAATCTTGCAAAACCAAAGGTGAAGGGCGGCATGGGTTTCCAAGATCTACACCTCTCCAATCTTGCGATGCTCGGGAAACATGGCTGGCACCTTCTTACTAAGCCGGACTCTTTATGTTCCAGGGTGTTGAAGGGGAAATATTTCCCTCATATGGATTTTCTCAATGCCATAGCCTCGGCTTGATCGTCGGCGACCTGGAAGGCCATCGTTGCGGGGCGAGATGCCCTAAATGTCGGTCTTGTTCATCGTGTGGGTGATGGAGCATCCATAGATACATGAACGGATAGCTGGATCCCCGGCACGCCCACTCTAAAACCAAGAGGGCACATTGGAACGGCACCTCTCCTCACTGTTTCAGAGCTCATTGATGATTACACGAGAAACCGGAATGAGCAGCTGGTTCGTCAAAATTTCCTACAACCGGGCATGGAGGCTATTCTGAATATACCGCTAAACCCGGCTGACGTCGAAGACACTTGGGCTTGGGCCTTGGAGAAATCTGGCATTTACTCTGTAAAATCAGCGTATCATACTCTGGTGACTCGCAACGAGCTTAGCTCTTTATAGGAAGGGAGGATTACTGAAGCATCATCAGCAAATAAACAGATGTGGACGGCCCTTTGGAAACTCAATGTCATCCCCAAGGTTCGAGCCTTCTGGTGGCGAGTACTCTATGGGATACTCCCATATTATGTTAACTTGCAATACCTCCATATCAAACCACTTGGTATGTGCGACATCTGCAAGGCGATGAATGAGGACATGCTACATGCATTACTACATTGCACACATGCAAAGAAGTTTTGGCTGGTAGCTCGAGATAGGTTTGATCTACATCTACCACGGCCGCGTCCAAACACATGGGCTCGTGATATTTTGCTTGACCAACTTTCACAGAGGCGGACAGAAGCAAAATCATCACAATTATGCACAACATACAGTCGTCTTGAAGGAAATATGCCCTAGAGCAATAATAAAGTTATTATTTATTTCCTTATTTCATGATAAATGTTTATTACTCATGCTAGAATTGTATTAGCCGGAAACATAATACATGTGTGAATACATAGACAAATGAAGTGTCACTAGTATGCCTCTACTTGACTAGCTCATTGATCAAAGATGGTTAAGGTTTCCTAACCATAGACATGAGTTGTCATTTGATAAACGGGATCACATCATTAGGAGAATGATGTGATTGACTTGACCCATTCCGTTAGCTTAACACTTGATCGTTTTAGTTTACTGCTATTGCTTTATTCATGACTTATACATGTTCCTATAACTATGAGATTATGCAACTCCCGATTACCGGAGGAACACTTTGTGTGCTATCAAACGTCACAACGTAACTGGGTGATTATAAAGGTGCTCTATAGGTGTTTTTTATGGTACTTGTTGAGTTGGCATAGATCGAGATTAGGATTTGTCACTCCGATTATCGGAGAGGTATCTCTGGGCCCTCTCGGTAATGCACGTCACTATAAGCCTTGCAAGCAATGTGACTAATGAGTTAGTTGCGGGATGATGCATTACAGAACGAGTAAAGAGACTTGCCGGTAACGAGATTGAGCTAGGTATTGAGATACCGACGATCGAATCTCGGGCAAGTAACATACCGATGACAAAGGGAACAACGTATGTCGTTATGCGGTTTGACCGATAAAGATCTTCGTAGAATATGTAGGAGCCAATATGAGCATCCAGGTTCCGCTA